TTTTTTTTTTTTGTAGAAACCCTTTTCTTGATGACTTTCCCTTATATTCCTATCTTACTGAGAATTTTTATAAGGAAGCATTTTGGATTTTACTTTCTCTGCATCTATTGAGATGATCACACATTTTTCATTTTAATTTGTTAACATGGGTAATTACATTGATTAGTTTCCTAGTGTTAAATAACCTTGCACTCATGGGATAAACCCAACTTGTTACAAAGTATTATTCTATAATTTTGGATTTAATTTGCTAAACCTTTGTTAAGCACCTTTGCATTGGGTTTTATGAAGGAAATTGGTACACAAGATTTTCTTTTCTTACAGTGTCTTTGGTTTTCATATTAGGATAATGCTCATCTGCCTGACTGAGATGAAAAGTATTCATTCCTCTGTAACTCTCTTGAAGAATTTTATAAAATTGGTATTTTTCTTCCTTTGCTATTTGTTCAGATTTTCCACGGAATTTTTGAGCCTGGAGTTTTCTTTGTTGGAAGATTTTAAATTCTACTCCTATTCCTTTAACAGAAAAGGATTATTTTAATAGTTGCATCAGTGGTATCCTGAAAATTTTGATGTTTTGTTTGCATTTACAATCAGTTTGGAATACTTAGTAATTTCCCTTTAATTTCTTCTGTTACCCAAGGGCTATATCAGAATGTTATAGCTTCCAAATATTTGGAAATTTTCTAGATTTTTTTCTATTATTGATATATCATTTATTTCCATTGTGATAAAAGAACATACTTTATAGACTTAAAACCTTTAAAAGTTATTTAGATACATTTTATGGCTTAGAACATTGTCTTGGAAAATGTACCATGTGTGCCTGAAAGAGTAAGTATACATATTGTTGTTGGATGTTCTGTAAGTGACAATTAGGTCAAATTAGCTGAGAGTGGGACTGGGGTTGTGGCTCAGTGGTACAGAGCTTGCCCACAAGTTCAATTCTCAGCACCACATAAAAATAAATAAAGGTGTTGTGCCCATCTACAACTAAAAAAA